AAAAAGGCATGAAATAATTAATAAAATATATCTAAACTGATATTGGCAATAACAATACACAAAATATCTACGGTGAACTGTGAAATGGTATGCTTTTTCTGCTGATAGCGAGAAAACATTTTGTTAAAAAAGATAATTTTCAACGTGATTACGTGTATATTATAATCTCGCTTTTTCAGCTAACTGATGTACATCATTCAAATTACGACATTCTAAATCTCTTAAGTTTGTCACATGGGAATCAAAATTCTTAATGTTCACCTGATACCAGATAAATTTCAAGCTTGAAAAAAAAAAGAAAGAAAATTAATTTATAAAAAGTGTATGCCCAATTCCAGATCCCTTTCATAGATGCAAGTTCCAATGACGGAATAAAAATACCTGACGTCAAAGGAAACATTGAGTTTTGTGACGTAAAGTTTGCCTATCCTAGTAGGCCGGACGTAAAGGTAGGACACTACATGCATAAATTCGGTAAGCATTTAGCGCGCGTGAGCGTATTGGCGTGCCTGGGCGTTTGTGACCACCTGAGTTCACACGTCTTTTCTTTACGTGATTGTTTACGTGCCTTGGCGTTTGTGATCGCGTGAACATCTTTTCGTTACGTGTTTTTCATATTATTATTATTATTATTATTATTATTATTATTATTATTATTATTATTATTATTATTTTACGCAATTATTTATGTAAAGCTGTCTGATTTGTTCACGTTTTATAATAAAAAAAAATTTAACTTGGTTTTCAGAAATGATAAATTAATGCAACTTGATTTTATTCTCTCTCTCTCTCTTTCTCTCTCTCTCTCTCTCTCTCTTTCTCTTTCTGTTTGTATATATGTATATTTTTTTTTTTTTGTGTGTCTTTTGTAGATTGTCATTTCTCTCAAAAATTTTTGATTGATTTTCCAATTTTTTTCATTTTTTAGATCCTGAAGGGCTTATCTTTCACTGTGCCAAGCGGTAGGACGGTGGCCTTGGTTGGGTCCTCCGGGTGTGGCAAGTCCACGGCAGTCAACCTCATCCAGAGATTTTACGATCCGGAAGAAGGCAGGGTGAATATCGATATAAGTCGTTTTTCATTTCGAGCGGTGTACTTAAGCCATACCGGCCGTACCGGTTCACTTTGAGAGATTGACGATTTTTATTAGGAAATATAATTATTGGTGTATTTATTCAACTACCTTTCCAATAAAATAAATCACTTTTTTTTTCTTTAAATAAATACAAACAGCCACCACAATCATGTTTAAAGATTCAAAATTAGAAAAGATGTCTGTCTTATCGGCCTACTGGGGGAAAAGAACCAGCCCCAGCCTAGCCTGGTTATACGTTCATCCAAGATTATACATTGCTTCATTTCCAGATTCTTCTGGACGGCAACGATCTTAAAAATGTGAACACGAGATGGCTTCGCCAGAATATAGGTGTAGTGTCCCAAGAGCCAATACTGTTTGGTTGTAGCATCATTGACAACATACGCTACGGCCGCCTTGACGTCACGTATGAAGAGATCATCCGAGCTGCCAAAGACGCTAATGCACATGACTTCATCAACAGACTGCCAGATGTAATTTATCTCTTAGCAGCAGTTACCAAAATCTAACTTAGAGGGAAGATGTACCCCTCGTTTTTCTTAAACCGAGAAGAAAAATCAGCTGTAATATTGTCCTCGATGATTGCTTGGTTTATATAACAAATAGACGTGCTTTTTGTGCAACTGTTTGTATATTGTGCATTCTTTGATTATATCTGTTATAAAATTAATCTTGAAGGTATGGGAATGTTTTGTCAATTTGAAAATATACGAATTCATGCGAAATCCTTCTTTTCGTAGGGTTATGACACACTGGTCGGTGAGCGAGGAATTCAACTCTCAGGAGGACAGAAACAGCGCGTAGCCATTGCAAGAGCGCTGGTCAGAGATCCCAAGATCTTGCTTTTAGACGAAGCCACCTCTGCATTGGATGCCGAGAGCGAGGCTGTGGTACAAGCAGCTCTGGATAAGGTACTTTTCGGAAATCGAGTTGATATTCATACGGATATCGAAATCAATCATTTTGGTTCTCTATACAGCGACTTGCATTGATGTCTTGTATTTCATTTATTTGTAATTTATTTGTATAATCACATACAATTGTAAACGCACCAAGAGGTTATTATTCTTTGGATTAAAAAAAAACCAGAACCAACACAATGTGTAATAAATTTCGCTTTGAGAAAAGGTGAACTATCTAAGGTTCAGTGCACTATGTTACGAAAAGAACCTATTTGTAGCAGAGCTAGGTTTCGATCCTAGGACCTCGGGGTAAGGGCCCCGCACGCTTCCACTGCGCCACTCTGCTTCAGTTCGCTAACGGAATATAGTTTGTTGTATACGTTGCTGCTTTTCTCATCTATTTCCTATCACTTTTGCTTCATTCATTCACTGATTATTTTATCAAATTCTAATTACCCATTTATCGACCATTTTATTATTTTTTCAATGACATTTTCTCGTACATTTTTCTATCTTTCTAGCTAGCTAACTATCCATGTAGCTTTGTCAATCCGTGCATCTTTCAGTCAATCTGTCTGACTGCCTGACTGTTTATGACTGGGTTCCCATAACCCTATCGTACTATCAAGATCGATCTAAATCTAAGTGGTTTCTCGCTAAATTGCATTCAGTTTAAGGGGCTTGAATGTCTGTCACGCCCCCTGAAGCTGCTAGGGGGTAATTAACTTTCGTGCACTCTTTAAACTGAATGCCACTTAGCGAGAATCCGTAGATAGATCCTGCTTGTACGATACGATTAAGGGAATGGTCCCTTTTAAGGGAATGGTCCCTTTTAATTTCATCTAAAGTGGCGATTTTTTCTCAGATCAGAATATGATATGTATTACGATCATATCCTCTCATACATATGTATTTAAATCCCCGTCCCTCCGGTCACTTCAGGCAAGGGAAGGGCGCACCACCGTGGTTATCGCCCACAGGCTGTCCACCATCCAGTCTGCTGACCAGATCTGCGTGGTCCAGGAAGGCCAGGTTATGGAGCAGGGTGGACACAGGGAGCTGATGAACAAGGAGGGACTCTACTACCAACTGGTCACTCTGCAGAAGCTGACCCGTGGGGATGAGGAGAGTGATAAGGAGGAGGATGGTGGAGAGGAGGGGGGCGTTAATGAAGGTAAGTTCGTCTGAATGCTGGACACTGGGCATGGGGCGCTGGACGCTCAGGTAGATATGGTACCGGTGTAACGAAATTGAGGGTCCGTGTAACAGAAAGTCTGCCCTCCATTTAGTTATAATGGTTAGGGTTAGCCTGACCTAAGTGGGTCAAAATCTAGGGTGAGGCTCACCAGTACAAATGAATGGGAAGCGGACTCTCTATCATGGGAGACTATCTGTCACTATTTACCGGTTTATACCCCCAGTGTGTGAGTAATGCTCGATGAATCGAAATAACATTTAGATATTTAGAAACGATGTATTTCGAAACGATGGCAGGTTAGGGCTCAGGTACACAGTGAATTATTTAAAACTGACAGTTCTGCTGGTTTGATTTATTTTATTTTTGAATCTATCTGTTGTTTTATACCATTGTGACTGATGGGCCTAGAAAATAAGTATTTTGAAAACGACTGAAAATATTTAGTGGGGACACTTAAAACTTTTTTTAATGTGATCCACTTTAGTCCAATTTTCGTGTTTAAGATCCAAGATTGTTTATATGACTTATTAATAAATTCCACAGATTAATTTTTCCACCTATGTGAAATCAGACGCAAGCTTTGTCCACCTTGAGTATCTTTAAGCGTTAAATTACTATGAATAATTATTTTATCTACATCTTTAAGGTGAGCGCCCAAGGACGCCGGGATTGATGAGGTCTAAGTCGCTTCACAGAAGCCACTCTAAACAGACGCCAGGCGTACTGCGACAAACGTCAGTGAAAAAGAAGAAAACTGTGGAAGAAGAAGCTGAGGTGCGAAATGGTCTTTTTTAACTTTTCTTTTTTATTTTCATTTTAATTGGAGCTGAACTTTATCAGGTTTAAGCACTGACTTGAGAAATATTTTGGAGGTAAGGATAATAATCATTTGTTATAAAGTGATTTAAAACTTGACGGTGCCAAGGGTAGGAAATGCTTCGAATATCTCGCAGTCTCAAAGTGTAGAACCCTGCAGCTCAAAAGAATAAAAAGAAAATATATCTTTAAATATGTATTTGTATATCAGGAGGAAGAAGTGGTACTCCCGGGTTTCTGCAGAATTCTACGTCTCAACAAGCCGGAAGCTTGCCACATCGTGATGGGCTGTATTGGTGGGGCACTGGTGGGCGGCGTGATGCCGGCTTTTGCTTTCTTCTATGGAGAACTGCTAGCTGTAAGTGAGGTGTAGAAAGCCCGAAAGGTGGGGTCACCAAACAGAAGAAACACGCACGAACGCACGCACGTACACACATAAAAACAGAGAGAGAGAGGGAGAGAGAGACCGCTGAATTTTATCCCATTCTCCTTTGTCGTCTATTACCCAGTTCAATGTGAAAGAAAATTTGTGAAGTTGCAATTTTGCAATTTTTCTTAAAATATCTGCCAGTTTCCCTTTCTTTAATATATTTTAGTAATTAGAATTACCATTAATGTCATGAATTAATGGTAATGAATCATGTTATACCACAGGTCTACGGGAAACAAGGTGAAGAACTCATACAACAAGCCACATTCTGGAGTATGATGTTTTTAGCTCTGGGAGGAGTCAGCTTTATAGGAGTCCTGGTCAACGTGAGTTATTTTCCAGTCATTCTTAGGCCGCTTCATTGATAATCAAACGGAAATCTCAGGAAAACCTAACATGTAAAAGCGTATCATAAATAAACGAAAGATATAAGATTTATCAAGCTCGTTATGACAGAAAATAAATTTTAAAAGAAGTGACGACAAAAACAGCATTAGCGTAACCAGCAGTAAAACACAGTCTATTTCAACTTTTTTAGTCCTACTCATTCGGGGTTTCGGGAGAAAAATTGACCAAGCGGCTAAGACTTAAGACGTTTGACAACATATTACGGCAGGACATCGCGTGGTTCGATGACCCTAGGCAGGCGACGGGAGCGTTGACCACGAGACTGGCTACGGACGCCTCCCTGGTCAAAACTGTAAGTTCCTATGATTATTAGATTGTATGTATTTTTAATGACAAAAGAATCAGTATAGTTAAGTTGGTAGCATCGGTTCTAGTGAGAGATTATATATATATATATATATATATATATATATATATATATATATATATATATATATATATAACGAGTGAGAATATATATACACACACTGGACAAAAGAAGTGTCACCCCTACTGAGCCAATGCTATGGGGGAGATAAATGACTGTGGAATGATATGCTCCTGGTATCATTTTATTAACATCAAATTTCACAAAAAATCACAAAATGAGAACAAAATATACATTCTACCAAAATATGCAGTTTTAAGTCCAAAATTAGTACTTAGTGGCATAGCCACGTGACCTAATAATAGGTGCCAGTATACGAGGCAAGGATTCATATAATTGTCTGATGCGTTCAGGGCTTATGCTGGCCCAAGCATGAAACACTGAATATAACAGAGTTTCTCTGCTGGTTAGACGGGCATTTGTAAAAAGTTTTGACATATCATTCCACAGATTTTCTATTATGTTTGCATCCGGACTCTGGGCAGGCCACATCACCCTGCGAATGTCCTGTTGTTCAAACCAATCATCAACTGCTCTGGGCCTGTGACAAGGAGCGTTGTCATCCTGGTGAACAGACGGATAATTCCTGTCACCAAACATGTTAGTAATAGATGGTAGCAAGCCTGACTCCAAAACATCGATATATTTCTAGTGATTAATGTTTCTATCAACCACTATCAATTCGCCCAAGCCATGGTTGCTGATGCAGCCCCACACCATGATGAATATGCTGCTCAGGGTTCGAAAATTCAGTGCATGTAGTTCAAATGCTTTACCAGCAGTTTGCCAGCATCGTACCCGTCTGTCATCAAAGGTCAGACCATAGCGACACTCATCAGAAAAAATATATAGGACCAATTGTCATGGACTGTCCAGTTAAAGATTCTGTTGACCCTAGTTCACTTTACGTTGCCTGTTTTGTAACGATTTAAGAGGTTTCAGGCTTGCTACCCTGCTGTACACTCTGTAAGGTTCGATTTTAGGTTCACAGATCGAGAAGAAGTGAGCAACAAGAGTCGTGGATTTCCAAACAGCTTTATTCCCACTGCCTAACTCCTTCTCTCTACCCACCACCTGTTCTATTTATATGTACCTTTTAAGATTAAAATGTCTCATTATAATAATACTTTATAATAAATCTTACTAGGCGCGGGCGCCGCGACATCCTATAGTCTAGGCGCGGGCGCCGCGACATCCTAGGGGCGTGGGACATGCTAAGGGGCGCCACCGCGTCCCTTACAACTCTATGAGCATGTAACCGACGCCTAGCAATTTTCACAGACACATTCTTATGTGTGAAATTGTTCCACTGTGTTGTCAACTGACAAGCAGTGTCGAACTTTGACAACCTGGGCATCAAAATCAGTCGTCGGTCTTCACGGCCAGTAGTTTTTCTTGGAAGACCCATTAGAGGCAATTTGTCTCTTGATCCAGTGTTTTTATACCGAGACCAGACCCTCTGCACGGTTCTGACTGAACAATTCAATTGTATCGATATTCTGACATTGCTTATATTCCGCCTCTTCAGGTTAATAACTTGCACCTATAACCGTTAGATAATTGCCTGTATCTTGCCATATTGTAGGAAGACAGGAATAACATTTGCTGTACATATACAAGACCAACAATACAATTCCATGGTATAGCGGATTTATACTCATTAGTCACATTATAAGTAGACCAGGCATCATAAGTGCCAAATATCTGCCTACTTTTCTTACTCTGAGTTAGGGGGTGACACTTCTTTTGTCCAGTGTATATATATATATATATATATATATATATATATATATATATATTGCATTTGCATTTGACTTTCGTATACGGGTGTAGATCAAACAAAGGATTCTGGTATCAGGCTCGTTGGAATTTTGGCAACACCGTCACCAAAATAATTGAAAATTTATACGTGCCATATTTCTGTACATCTAGGGCACTGGTGTTCGGCTCGGTGTCATCGTCCAGTCTGCCGTGAGTATGATTGGGGGACTGACCATCGCTTTCATTTACGGCTGGCAGCTGGCGCTGCTGGTACTGGCGACAGTGCCCGTCATGGCAGTTGCAGGTGAGTGATAAATATGATTATACAGAGGGATTGAGAGGTGACTTCAGTCGAACCGCCCCTAGATGAGCTACCATTACCAAATGAAAAATTAAAATGATTTTTTGAAGAGGACCTCATTATTATTTTTAACCTGAGATGATTGTTATACCGCATTATGAAATTTTAGTTTAAGACCATGGTACATGTATTTTTAATCGACTTTAACAACCTTATGCTCAGTCCCTGCAATCACTTTCTAATATTAAAATTAAAAAAATATATTACAGGTTTCCTGAAAATCCGTAATCAGTGGCAACTTATGCAATCTGTAGTGACTTGCGAAACTTAATTTTACAACTAAATTTTGAGTTACTCTTACAATTATGCATTAGATATAGATCCCCCTGTTTTCATATACAGGCGCCCTGAATATGAAAGCAATTAGTGGGAGAGACAAGAAGGACAACGAAGCCCTGGAACAGGCAGGAAAGGTAAGACCAACCGGTCTGGAAAAGTATTTTAAAACATAAAATTGATTTTAAGAGAAGTTTGTGGTCATGGAATTCTTTATAAGGACAGTAGGATGTACGGCGTTCAAATGATGTGTAGCGTTTGTATATTTGAAGGCGCGCGTTTTGGGCAAATGTATACAGTGGTAAGATTTAGCTGGAAACGCTAGCATCTGCAAAGGAAAGAAGCAAAAACTTGAGTTCACAATACACCGAAACTAAAGAACAAACCTAAAATAAATTTTACCTTCCGCATAGAATTGGCATAGGAGTGGCAGGAGTTGAATGCTACAACATTATAGCAGAGCCTATGTATAGCGAGAGATGCTTTTTCATTACTACGGTAAGTTAGAATCGTGTGTATTTCAGACTGCCAGCGAGGCCATAGAAAACATCCGCACAGTTCAATCTCTCACGCGGGAACCCACGTTTTATGAGGGTTATTGTAATAAACTGCTTCAGCCGTTCAGGTAAATAATGCAGCGTTTGCAAGTCTGATCACGTTCATTTAAAGGAGCCTTTTTACTGCAAATATTGGAGTGTACATGGGATAAAAAATACTTATGCTAATGTACGCCAAGTATAAACATTTTAACGAATGTCAAGGTTAAATTTCCTTCAGTTGACCAAAAGTCAACTTCATGTTTATTCAAAATCATAACCCTGCATTTGCCAATTTACAGAGAAAACCTGAAACAGGCCCAGATCTATGGCATAGCATATGGTTTCTCCCAAGGCATAATTTTTTTCATTTATGCCGGCACCTTCCGATTTGGCGCCTACCTGGTGGACATTGAAGTAATGGACTACTACAACGTTTACAAGTAAGTGGCTTTCTGGAGGAATCTGAATTTCAGATCTTCAGAAATAGGCGAATTGTTACTGGTACTGGTGGACTGCAACAAGCATTTTTGATCAAGATCAAATGTTCATACCTGCACCAAGTTTTTGAGAACAACCAATAGGTTATTTTCTTTTTTGTGGCCCATTTGTGATTGAGAACATATCTTTGCCAACAAAATTCAGTGGATTGTTAGAAATGAATATACAAGTTTTTATCAAGTTTAATATTACTGATTATGCTAGTATCTTTAAAGTTCTACATATCTGTCAGCATTAAAACAGAAAAAAAGGCAGATACAGGTCTTATAGTTTTCAACCATTCCAATGGTTTTTTTAATATGGAGTTGAATTTGAACCACATTGAACAGGATGTCTTTTGGTAAAAGCCAGTTACTGTTTAGATATAGAAGGACGTCATAACAATATTAGTCGACACCAATATGAGTAACTACTATATCAGATATCTCAGTGCAATGGCCTCAGCTGCGAGTTTCATACTCCTTTGATTAATATAAGAAATATGTCATAACCAAGCCATATCTAAAATTATAAGACCAATTTAAAATTAAGACATTTGCCAAAGCAAATGCTGATAATTTGAATACTTTTGTCTTGTATACTTCATCTTTTCTTGACAAGCAACAACGCCATCTATCCACGTGGTGTGTGTCAATTCAGGACCAAAGGCAACTGCTGGTCTTGGCCAAAACCATGTGATAAATATCTAAGCACACCTTGCACATATAGTAGTGCGAAAAAAAAAATTCTACATCCTTTCTTGACAAGCAAAAGTGCCACTATTCATGTGACCTATTTCATCAACTTAACTGTTTGTCCTTAGCAAAACCATGCAATAAATAATTAAGCACCACCTGAACATGTACTGTTAAAAAATTACTTATAGATAACTTAAAATAATACTTTTACCACATAGCAAAGTAATGTATAAAAGTGTGTTCATGTGTTGTTTCAGAAACTATGAAACTTACTAAGCAAAACTCTTAAACTTAGTGCCCCACTTGCACATCACTTAAGCATTTTCCAAGCCTTTCCTTAAATACATGTGATAAAATGAATGTTGAAGGATCTCCCTTCTCTTGGCCTGCATACATATATATATATATCTTGAATCGTATTTCTGTCATGGCAAGCATGACCTCTGTCATGGCTAACATGACACCACTGCTGAGGATGTTCATGACATGTTCCCCAAATTTCAACAACCCAGTTCATATTCTACTTTATCAAATGCTTTTTCAAAATCCACTCACATTGCCAAGATTGTAACAATTTTTTTTACTATGTGCTAGTGATGTTTTCTGCTGATTATGTGTTATGATATTTACACAGCAGCAATAAATATTCTAGTACTTGGCTCAATGATCTTATATGATTTGCAACATTAACTGTGTTCTCTCCTGTTGCAATATTTCCTTGACTAATTTCCACATCAAGCTTGTTGATTTACACTTGGTCATTAAAACAAATATAAATAATATTAATAATATTGCATGGTACTATTTAATGACACCTTGGTCTTCTTACTTTGAAACTAAACTTGCCAAAAACCAACCCAACCCAAAAAGATTACACAAATTACTACAATCATTATTATTATTATTATGATGATGATGAAGAACACTTTGCTCCAAAATGGCAGAGCCACATTTGAAAGCATTCTATTCTACTACCTGAAAGTGACCATAAATATTTCTTTCTTGATATGTAAGTGGGCCTCAAATAGATGGCTCTATACATGCACTAACATGATAATACACCCTGACACAGTATTACTATATTCTTAACAAGCATGTCTTTGGTGTCAACAAAACAGCTGATATTTAACTCCTGTTTATACTAGTAATGCTGTGGTGAAAATTCTAAATTTTACACAATGGCCAGCAAAGAATTTTAGCTGCTGTTTCATGTATTTTAAGTTACAAGAACAGTTTCTGAATGACATCACGTTAGACACTGAAATAGTGGAAAGGCGTGGAAATAAGTATATCTGTTCTTTGAGAAAAATGTTATTTTAGTTTTGAGTATACATCAGTCTTCCTGAAAGCCACTCCATATCAAAGCACTTTATTTACTACTTTCACTTTTCATAGTGCTACAGATTCTACTCTATCTCTACCTTGTCAATATAAAACTTAAGACTGTTCTCAGAGAAAAACTTTCTTTGTGACAATTCAGTTATTATCACCAATTCACAAAAAAGGTTCTGATTCAAATTGCAAATCATTTGCTCCAATATTTGTAAAATTCTCCCTAAAACATTTCAACGTCTTTGGGATATTTACGTTGATAGTTCCTGCTCAGCAAAATTAAGTTCCTCTTCCTGAAGCTCTACTTGGAGTTTCAATCCTTTTGCACCAATGACTTGTAAGATTGTATCATTAACGAGACAACTCTCCACATCTTTCAATAGGTTACCATTCCTCCAGTCTTGTTTCAGCTGGGTCAGCTGACTCAACTTCATGCATATGCAAATCACAGAGAGGTCACTGTCAGTGTTAATTTGCATGAAGAGGATCCCCCTCATCTGTTCCAAATACTTGACAAAATCCACATGGGTCTGACAGGAAGCTTCTTGAACTTCTTTGTAAAATAATTCAGATTTATTTTCAAAGACTTTCTTTAAGGCTGGGTCGACAGTTTTGGGAGGCTGGTTCCTATTGGTTATTTGGCCATTGCCATTAGTGATAGCACCATCAGTGTCTGGATGTGCACCATTTTTGCCCTCATTGCCAGTCTTGTCCTTCTGGCCACCAGGTGGCACACTGTGGTTGTTGCCATTGCCAACCACATAAGCACTGTAGCTTTCTGTTCTCTTTCGCTCCTTCTTGCTTCCCTTGGTGAAGGACCGCATGAAACAAAAACATAGGCACTTTGAACTTTTCTTCTTGACACTTTTTTGATCCTCCCTTATATCCTGAATCTCCATTAGCTCAATGGAACGTGTTCGCGGCAGAGGTTTAGATTCTGGCTTAATGTCCTCCAGATGGAGCCACTCTCTTTTGCTGCAAGACAAGCCTGGTTCTTTGGAAGGGTCAATCTTCACACCATTAACCAATATCTTTATGGTGACTTGTCCTGAAAATACAAAAACAAATTAATAAAAAAAATAATAATAATAAAGAACTTAAAATTATCTTTTGTCAAACTCATCTCTACTAGTGACAAAAATGAATGGAAAAAAATAATTTAAGAAAGAAAAAGAGAAAGAAAGAGCTGGGGGAGGAGGGAAGGTGAGCATGTGAAACTAAGAATCCAGTATTATTCCCACACCCAATACCAGACTTCAATACTAATGTGCATCAGCTGTTCAGAACATTTACTCTCTGCTTTGTGTGCAAAACAGGTGTGTGGCGACATCTGGTGAGCATTTAA